TGGTGTTGCAGTGTGGGGCCTGAGACCATGATCAGAGGACATAGGAGGGGAGGCTGTATGGCACCCATAGTCACTGAGAGAGAAGCTTCCAAGTGTATCTTCTGAGTGACAATGGCTGCTGATGCCCCCCCCCAGCCAAGCTCTGGCCCAGGTCCCTGATTCTTAGAGCCACTCAGTACTTTCTGTGGCCTCATACCACACCATGAAGGTGGACTTTTCATCTCTTTGCCAGAGATCACACCTCCCAGGACCAGTGGGGAGAATGGACCAAGCTGGTTTAGCATGTGCATCGGTGTGAATTTGCATGTATACAGAAGTGCCAGAGCTGGCCTGGGCCACTCCTACCATGACCTCACATGAGTGTTTCAAACTAACTCCTGTAGACATTTTGCCCAAGCCCACAGCCCCCACGAGGCCCTGGTGTGTCCACCATCTCCAAACCTGTCATGGTCCACCAAGAAGCCAACTTCATCTACAGGCCACCTGTGAAATCTGAGGTCCTGGTAAGCCCCTGGGGTCCCCTCCAGGGAATCTCCAGAGGACTAGGGCCCTCTCTGGAGGAAAAGTGAGGTGGAACACAAACTGAGATCAGAATCCCCTAACATCTCATTGGCCAAAGGATGAGTCCCCATGGGTGTAAGTGGGTGTTGACATGACCAATGCAATTCCTATTTCCCATTTGACCAAATGACCTGGAGGTCCATCTAAAAATAATAATAATAATAACAGTGAAGACTTATTGAGATCCTAGCATGTGCCAGGTTTTGCACAGTCTCATTTAATCTTTACAACAAGCTTTAGTTGTCTGTCAACTCCAGGGAGATGATCCTATTGTTATCCCTATTTAACATTTAAAGGTCTCTAGTGTTCTGCTCTGCTCTCTAGGGTGCTATGAGTCAGAATGGACTCAGTATCAATTTTTTTTTTTTAAGGTAGTACAAAGGGGTTGCTCTTGACTGCTAACCTAAAAGTTGGTGGTTCGAACCCACCCAGTGGCATACCATGGAAGAAAGGGCAATCTGCTTGCATTAAGACTATAGCCAAGAAAACCCTGTGGAGTAGTAACACCTGGGGTTGCCAAGAGTAGCGATCAACTCAATGGGAACTTATAACAATTTAACATTTGAGGAAGCTGAGGCTTTGAGAGATTAAGTCAATTGACCAAAGTAGAGCCAAGACTTACTTCAAAGCATTTTGGACTCCAAAGCCCATGCTATCACCCACATTGCCATCTTGCCAAAACCTGCCAAAGTTCCAGTTGCCCTGGCCTCTGTCATGGCCTGGGCATATGACCAGCCTCAGATGGGGAAGTGGCCACAGCCACTTGCTCCATCCCTTGCTTCATTTCACTTCTCAGCCCCTGACAAGGGCTGGGAGTATGAGGTGTGGTCCTGGGGAAGTGGGGAGGGTCTGCCCACCCTCAATCACTGACAGCTGAGGGAGCTGGGGCTGGTGTCCCTTTCCTGGGGATGCCCAGCTGCTGACTAGCTTCCCACCCACAGTGGGAAGAGAGCCCCGCCAGAATTTTTATCTCCTTTGCAAGGAAACCCTACTCAGATATTAATTTTGAGCTTTAACTGTCTAGCCAGCTCCCCAGAGAGCAAAGTTCACACTCCTGTGACAATTTGCTGATTCCTATGCCTTGTGTTTTCTAATAACAAGGGTGTCTGTTTGGGTAGAACTGGGTAGCTGTTGCATCTTGAGGCACAAAGCTGGTCCCCAATGTTAATCAGTCTGTTTCTGTTTGGGGAGAGTGATAGGGCAGTCCCAGGCTGGCAGGCCCATGGTCGGGCACCAGAGGGCAGACGAGACCAGTCGATAATGTCCAGTGTGGAACTTTTCTTTTTCTGGCAGCCACAGGAAATGTTGAAGAGGATGGTGGTTTATCAGACAGCGTTCAGACAAGTAAAATGATACCCATTTGTGTGTGTGTGTGTGTGTGAGTGTGTTCCTCCTCTCCTATTTCCTCCCTCATGTGCCTGACTTCCTCCCCTGGGGAGTGCTGATTCTCAGGTAGCCTCTAGTACCCCCCTTTGCCAGAGGGCAGGAGGGCAGGAGTTACCGAGGGTCTCATAGCAGAGGGAATGGGGAACTAGACTTATTAGACCCCTTGCTCAGGCTGATAAAGCAGCTGGAGCCCTTGGGGCTCATTAATTGTTTGCTAAAAGAGGAGCAGGGCAGAGGGATCCTTCAGAAGTGCAAAAAGACCAAGAGGGAGCCTTGCCTCTGCCCAGGGAGAGAAGGAAGGGGCTGCCTGAGGGATCTCCCTACACCCTCCCCTGTCTTGTCCACTCAAGGCAGATCACAGCTTCACCAAAACTCACCTGGTACCAAACAAGTGTCAGAGAGGAAGTGGTGGCCCAGGTCTCCTATCTGCATAGGGTGCTCTGTGGATGGGGATGCCAAAGTCCTCGCTGGTCTCTGAATGGTATCAGACAGGCTGGCGGCCACTGATCCTCCCCACCGCCTGGGGCTTTTGTCCAAGAGAGCCATTGACCACTTCACAACCAACGGAAGAGACCCCAAGCCAGAGGGAGAAAGATATCCTGAGCAGACAGACCTTGCTTCTCCAGTCTCCCCTCTGATAGCCCACCATCAGAGCACAGGCCGGTTTGATCACAGCCAGGGAGCAAAAAGGAAGATGTCACCTGTACAATGAGACACAGGGGGTGTCTGCAAAAGAGGCTGCTCCCAGCCCAGGCCTGGGGAGTAAAGGGAAGCTAACATTTAGGAGATATGTTGTGTCAAGCAAAGTTTCTAAAGACTTTATGTATATTCACTCATTTAATCTTTACAAGCCTCGGAGGTTAAATGTTAATATCACCCCCCCCCCCATTTTGTAGATAAGAAACTGAAGTAGAGAGGTTAGGAAACTTGCTCATGATGGCACAGCTAGTGTGAGATCCTGAGTTTGAATCCAGGAGGTCAGGGTCTGCATTCTGTGCCCTGAAATATTGTGACATTCTGCCTCTCAATGCACTGCAAATTTATAAGTAGGCTTTTTAAGACCTGGTTGTTTAGGGTACAGATGAGCCTCAAAGGGAGAAAGGCAGGAAAGTGAAGAATCCCAGGCCTCTGGCTGGAGTCAGGGAGCTCTGGTAGCCTAGTGCCTAAGGCATTTGACTGCTAACCAGAAGGCTGGCAGTTCAAACCCACCAGCAACTTTTCAGAAGGAAGGTTGGGCAATCTACTTCCGTAGTGATACCGCCTCAGAAACCCAAGGAGGGGTTACTATGAGTTGGAGCCAACTTGATGGCAGTGAGTTTGGGCTTTTGGTTTTTGGCTGGAGTCAAACCCTTGCTCTGAGGTCCACTGACTAGGAGATCTTGGGCATGAATGTGACCACTCAGGGCCTGTTTTTCCACCTGTTGAATCAGAGGTAGGCTCTCCCTTTAAGGCTTGAGCAACTGTAATGGTTTATGAGAGAATGAGATCTAATGGCTTATGGTGAATGAGATCTGAATTCACAAGAAGACCTAAATGCCTGCCATTCAGCCCATCTCTGAGAGCACATTCTCAGGAGGGAGAGAGGGCGTCGGCAGGGAGAACGAGAGCTACCAGGGCCCAAGTTTTCAAAGAAATAGCCAAGGGCATGCAGAGCCCTCTCAGTGAAAAAGTGTTGACCCAGACCTTGCCTAGTGACCCCTGCACCCATGGATTTGTTGTCTCCCCCACTTTGTCTGCTGGCCTGACACCCATGGACTGACCCGGGTGTGCCTCAGACCTGGGCCAGGCTCACACCCTCTTTGGAGTTGAGCCTAGCATGGAGGCCAGTGAGGAGGGATGGCATGAGGTTGCCCAAAGATCCATCTGCTGATACTGGGCTCTCATCGTGCTGCCCATAGATTGTACTGTGGTCCCCCCATGATGCTGACCACAAGCCCCAGAGCACACTGCACCCATGCTTGCTGCAGCCAAGGGAAGTTTGGGTGCTGAGGGTGGTTCCTCTGGATCCAGCAAGGCCTATGTGGACACCTGCCACAGGCCTCTCCTCTACTCCACCTTCCTGGGGAGAGTAGCAGTGTTGTTGCCTTCAGGCCTAGGATTCTGGGCCCCTCTGGCCTGTGACCACCCCTGACCCTGCTCACTATGTGTGACTTCTGGGGAGGAAGGGTGTATTGTGGCTCTATCCCCTTACTCTTATTCCTAAATCTTGGGGATATTGTTCCCATTTAAAAAAAAAAAAAAAAACCTCACTACCATTGAGTCGGATCTGACTCATAGTGACCCGTCCTTGGGTTTCCGAGGTGGTATCACTATGGAAGTAGATTGCCCAATCTTCCTTATTGTTCCCATAGCAATCCTCTATGAAGCCAGATCCTCTGAGCTGTGTGAAAAGCTTCCCTTCTCCCCTGGCTGAAGGGCCAACCTGGGCTCCCCAGAACCTGGAGAGGGCTATTGCCTTCTAGAAAAGCATTTATTCGAACAGGTCCAGATGCCAGGCAAGTACAGACCCCTCTGCCCCTCACTTCCCTCATGATGTCCAATGTCCCTTTGCCTCCTCCAGTCATCTTGTGGCAGGTTTCCCCAGAATGAACAGCCTCTTGTGCAGAGTTAATCTCTTCTTTGGGGTCAGAGGAAGATGTAAATAGCCCTGCCCTTATTTGGGCCCTTGGAAGAAATGATGTAGAGCCTGTAATCGAGAACTAACAGGAGGTGTGGAGAGATGAGGCTTTCAACAAGACAGGCAATGCCTGCCAAGACCAACTCTACAAAGTCAGAGGGTCCCCAGAGACACCAGCTCACTGGAATCTGCAGGACCCAGGCCTGGGACCTTTAAACACTTGTAGCTTCCTGCTTCTCCCTGGCTGTTGGGGCTGCCAGCTCTTCCCTGAATCCCCCAACTAGGCTATGCCCGACCCTCCTCTGCCTTCTCTTCTATCTCTGACCCTTTACCATCGGAGCCATTTACCATCTTCCTTCTCTCCCTTGAACCTGTTTCCTGCCATAACCCTCAAGGGCCTCTGCTATGAGGTCCTAAAGCCCCCTTTTGCTTCCAGGATTTCCGGAAATATGAGGAAAGCTTTGATCCCTACTCAATGGTAAGACAAAAGTCCTTCCCAGGCGTGTATGTGTGTGCGTGTGTGTGCGCATGTGTGTTTACCCCAGGCCTAGGCAGCAGAGTGTGTCAGAGGCTGGCCTGTTCTGGACCACAGAAGTCCTAGGAATGAGGTCAGGGGATTATAGAGCCCAGGAAAAGCAAAAAGCCAAACTCACTGCCGTCGAGTCTGTATCAACTCATAGCAACCCCTCCTTGGGTTTCTGAGGCAGTATCACTATGGAAGTAGATTGCCCAGTCTTCCTTCCAAGGAGTGGCTGGTGGGTTTGAACTGCCAGCCTTCTGGTTAGCAGTCAAATGCCTTAGGCACTACTTCACCAGAGGTTCTAGGAACACCCCAAACTGCTCTTTCCTGTGCTTGCTTCTCTCAAGTGTGTGCGTGTGTGCGTGTGTGTGTGTGTGTGGCTTACAACAGTTATACTTACTGAGCACTAACTATATACCTGAAACTATAATAATAATCCCATGAGGAAACTACCACCACCACCCCCCCCCCATTTCACAAATGGTGATACTGAAGTACAGAGAGGTTAATTTGTTCATTTGCTTAAGGTCGCACAGCTAGGAAATGGAGGAATTGGAATGTGTGTGGCTGTGTGTCCCCTATGGGGCCTGGGAACCCTCCCCCCAGTTGAAGACCAATGGGGACAGGGCTGGCAAAGGTGCCTCTGGCCCATGTGTTCTGTGGGGCCCCGTGTCTCCCAGGTGCCTGGCTTGCAGTTCCATCCTGTCCGCACCCTATTTTCAGGCGGACTCAAATCTCCCCCACTGTCTTTTTCTTTCTAGTTCACTCCAGAGCAGATCATAGGGAAAGATGTCCGGCTCCTACGCATTAAGAAGGTTGGATAGGTCCCACCTTCCTCTGCCCCCTCCCTCTCCCACTTTGCTTCCCTGTTTTTCCTGCTCTCAAGGTGATTCATCAAATCCCCACCTTCTCCCCTCTCCTCCTGGGAATACCCCCTCTTTAGGTGGGACCACACTCCTAGGTGCTGTTTGGCATACATGTCCCATTTCCTCCTTGATGACACTGCTGTTGCCCATTCTTCCCCTGGCCTTTCTGTAGCCCTGCTATAAAACTGCTTGGTGTTCTGGTGCCCACAGGCTGTTGTCTGCTTGGGACTCAAGGCCTGTTTTCCTCTCACCAGGAGGGATCCTTAGACTTGGCCCTGGAAGGTGGTGTGGACTCCCCTATCGGGAAGGTGGTTGTCTCAGCTGTTTATGAGGGAGGAGCTGCTGAGCGGCATGGTGAGTGGGGACTAGCCATGGCCTGATTTGGGGATGGTGTGATGGTTATTCAGGGCCCTCCAGGAGAGTAAACAGATGCCTATTTGCAGTGGGCTTGACAATTGCTCAAGAACGTCCTCCCCCCTGGGTCTGTCCATCCATCTGTCAAGTCCCATGTGCTGCCTGAGGGCAGACCATGGTGCCAGGCTCTGCAGGCACACTGACAAACCAGGGTCTCAGAATTGCCAGATAGTGACAGGATTTTGCCTTTCCAGAGCCATCCCCACCCATCTTTGCTTCACAGAGTGCAACCCAGCACCACGTTGTTTAACTTGTTAATTTTTAATGGTTTCAGGCATGGAAAAACATCCTGAGCATAATAGAACAAACACCCATGTCCCCATCACTGAGTGTAGGACATCAAACATCACAAATATGGTCAGAGCCCTCTCTGGTTGCATTCGCCTCCCTCCCCCAAATGTAAACCACTGCCCTGAATTCGTAGCCTTCAACTGTAAAAAAAATATTTTTTTCGTGAATGAAAAAGATAACATACTCTTTCATAAATTCAAGCTATATGGATTTGTACAAAATGGAAAAGTGAAAGTCACCAGCTACCTAACCCCAGTCCCACTGTTCAGAAAAAACTGCTGTCTATAGTTTAGTCCCTCACTACTTTGAACATGCAAGCAGCTGCTGCCCATTTCCCCAAGAGCTCGTGTGTTTTAAGCCACCAAGTAACACACATCACAATCCCTGTGGGCCTTCATTCCCATGCCCACAAGGCTCTCGATTGATCTATTTCAGTATCACTTAGAATGTGTTCTGTGGACACTAGGACTGGGCAAAAATCCTCAATAAAGAGTTCTGAAGTCAAAGAAATGTGTGAAGCCATGCACAATCTATGGACTTCTTGGAGAGCCACGATGTGTATTTACATACTAAAGGCTTTGACAAGTCCTGCAGTGAGTAACTCTGTTTAGCTTTTAACTCAACAGTTCTCAAATTTATTAAACCACAGGACGTCTTATCTAAGGATACCCTTTAACACAATTCATTTATTCAACAAATATCTGTTGAGTTCCTGTTTGTGCTAGGTATTATGGTAAGTGTTAAGGATGTCGTGGTGAACCCAAAAGATAGTCCTTGCCCTCATGGATCTTATAGTCTGGTGAGAGAGCCCATCAGTAAACAAGTAAACAGATATATGACTACAAATTGTGAAAAATGCTGTGCAGAGAAAGACCAGGTTGCTGTGAGAGAATAGTAGGAAAGATCTTTAGATTGAGTGGGGATCAGAGAAGCCTTTTCTGAGGAAGAAACATTTCATCTGAGACCTAAAAGAAGAGAAGAAAGAGAGAGGGAAGCATGTTCCAGATGGAACAGCACATACAGGCTCTGAGTCACGAAAGAGCTTGACATGCTCAGAGGCCTGAAGTAGACCCATCTGGCCAGTGCATGGAGAGAGTCTGCCAGCAGAACTAACTCATGTTTCAGTGATAACCTTGCAGGAAATGTAGGACTGTCTCCTTTTGGTTTGGGCCAGAGCCAATAACAGAGGTATGTACAAGAGCTGTTGTGGCAGCACGTCATCACTGGTATACCAAATCTAGTGACCAAATCTACTGAACCAGGGTGAGGGTATGCTTGGATGGGGGAAAATACCCTTGAGCAACCTGGTGGGTTGTTCACTTGCTTTCTGAGCCCATGTGAGCTTCTGGAACCCAGGACTCGAGCCTTTTCTGCAGCCCCACAGTGCCTCTGCTAAGCCTTGAGCCTGGCACGTGTGACACATGGCTCGATCAGCTAATCAGCTGCATCTCTTCTTGCAGGTGGCATTGTGAAAGGTGACGAGATCATGGCAATCAATGGCAAGATCGTGACTGACTATACGCTGGCCGAGGCTGAGGCTGCCCTGCAGAAGGCCTGGAGTCAGGGAGTAAGAGTGGCCCCCTCCCTCCCTTTGTTGTCTGCCTGGCTGCCTCAAACCCTGCCCTCTACAACCAGGACTTACAGTCAGGGTGCCCCATCCCAGGGCGCTATACAGGATCCAAGCAACTATTGGGTGATGTCCACATACCCCATCCAGCCAGTGGTCTAAATCTGATGAAATGGGATTCAAAAAAAAAAAAAACAAATGTCAATTCCTGACCTTGAGTTCAAAAAACAGTTGCACAAATATAAACTCCAGAAGCCTGGGTATGGCAGCCAGCCCTCCCCCACAAAAAAGACTTAAAGGTCTTCTCTAAGTGCACACTGAACAGGAATTAGCAGGTTGCCTGGGGTTACTAGAAAGCATTAACAGAAGTAGAGGGTCCAGGCTGGTGGTAGTCTGTGCACTCATCAGACACCCGACTGGGTCAGGGATACCACATAAGGCCTTCCAGGCTGTGCACTACACAAATCCAGGGGGTTCCTTCCTACAGACTACAAAGTAAAGGGTGTCCCCTCATGTTGTGCTGTGCACAACCTGTGCAACTATATGCAGGCAGCCGAGCCTGAGGTATTAAGTTCAGTGCTGAGGAAGCTGATCGGATGGTTCTGGGACCCACATGAAAGGATATGGAAAAGAGAAGACTCACGGGTAACATGATGACTGTATTTGATTATCTGAAGGGCTGCATTAGGGTAAAGGGTGCAGAAGTATTCTCTGTGATTCTTGAAGGCAGAGCTGGAATGGATAGGAAGAGGTTCTGGGGAGAGATTTCAGCTTATTATTAAGAACTATCACATGGTGGAGGGGCCCAATGATGTTTCAGATACTTTTCGTTGGATGCATCCAAGCCAAGGATGGACAATGATGGACAAGCCAAGGATGGCAGTGATGCCAGTGAGGGCATTCAAATGTTAGGGTCAAAAAGCTAGGCCAGAAGTTCTCCAATCATGCATTAAAATTACTTACCAAAAAACCAAACTCACTGTGGTAGAGTCGAATCTGACTCATAGTGACCCCTCCTTGGGTTTCTGAGGTGGTATCACTATGGAAGTAGATTGCCCCATCTTCTTTCCGAGGAGTAGCTGGTGGGTTTGAACTGCCAGCCTCCTGGTTAGCAGTCAAATGCCTTAGACACTACGCCACCAGAGCTCCCAAGGAGCCTATTAAAAATATGTTTCCCAGGACCCACACCATACTTCCAAGGACCAAGTCAATGAGTCTACAGGTTTAAGATATTCCCCCAAATGATCTAAGGTTGCCACCTGGCCCTAATTCAAAGATTAGCATTTGGGAACTTAGTGTCATTTGAGGGTTTTAAGACCCTGGCTGCTATGGTTCTATAGCCTCAGAGACGGGAAGCTTCCCTGGACCATGGGTCCATCCCCAAAAGGCCCATCCCCACTTGGCCTCCACAGGAAGAAGGCCCCAGCCAGCTGACTCTGGGCCTTGGTGTCTAGGCATGGGAATGGAGTGGCAGGGGCAGATGCCATCCCACCCTGAGTGCATCCCCAGAGTCACATGGCTTCTCCCCACAGGACTGGATTGACCTGGTTGTTGCCGTCTGTCCTCCCAAGGAGTATGACGATGAGCTGTAAGTGTGCTGGCACCTGGCCCACTACCTCCTCTTCCTCCTCCTCCAGAATCTTGGCTTCCTTCTCCTAATCCACCCCTGCTTTCATCCAGCCTGAAGGAATGGCCCAAGCACACAGTGTCTAGTAATAACAGCTGCTAGAGAGCCCCTGGCCTAGAGAAATCCTAGAACTAAGTCACAGTCCTTAAGCATTGTCTGTCTCTCAATCTCTGTCCCTCTCCTCTTTCTTCTCTCTCTCCATCCTTCCTGTCAGTATCTCTATCCTACCTGTCTCTCTCTTTCTCCTTCATCCCTCTTCCCCTTCTCTCTGACGCTTTCTTTCTCTTGATCCCTGTTTCTTTCTTTCACTGGCTCTGAGTCCCTACTTCTCTGTGTTTGTCATTCTACATCCATTTCTCTCTTTATGCCTCTTAGTGTCTCACCTCCATCCTTACTTCATTACATCACCTCCCCCCACACCCACCCACACTTGTCAGACCCCTACTTGCCTGTGCCTGCTTGCTCCCACTGCTGGGCAGAGGCTGAGTTCCCTGTGTGTTCTGAAGAAACAAAAGTTGTTTAGCTCCTAATTCTGAAGACCAGGGTCTGTGCAGGACCCGGGACAGGGAGAGATTTGCCTGGGAATAACCAAGCCTGTTTTGTGTTTCCTGCTCTGCTCTGCATACGTACCTCTTCTCTTTCCTCCTCTGCAGCTGAGAGCCTCTAACCAGTCTGAAAGCTCCTTGAAGACCATAATCTCCTGCAGTTAGAGCCTGGCAGCCCCCCACAGTGAATAGGCAGGCGGGGTCCAGGGCCTTGTTTGTCCATACTGGGTGTAGTGGCTGTCAGCTGCCGACCCTGTCGGCAGGTTCTTTGGACTGGTACCTGGAGGGGTGCACAAGGTGCCATCTCTGAAATGCCACCCTGGACCTGCTGATAGCCACGCTTGAAATCTGAGGGACTCAGAGGGCTTCCAGTTCTGGGCAGTGGAGCAGAGCACAGTCTGTAACATCTAATTGACACTTGGGAGTCCTGACTCTCCACAACCCCTGGGACCTGCCACAGGTCCCACATAGCACCCAAATGAGCAGGATGGAGCATTGAGCACCATTCTCTGCTAGGCATAAACAGTGCCTCAAATGAGGGCTGATGGACTGGGATAGCCCAGAGGAAGCATTGCCTGAATATCCCCTCAGAAGGTGTCCTCAGCAAAATGTACCTACCTTCCACTTGAATACCACCCTGCTGGGACCTCTTTTCTACCCTGGCCCACAGGCTTAGGAAGAACAAGGACAATTCAGACCTTTGTAAGACTGGTCCAAAGAACTAGGGTTGGCGGTTTAGAATTGCTTGTGTCCTGCAGTGACCTGTTGTGTCCTTTGTGCCTTCTGTCTTCCTCGGGTCCAGGCTCTGTCCATGGGACAAACCATGGAGCCTAGCTGTGGAATGTTTCCTACATGGGACCAGGCTGTGACCATGGACAAAGCTGGCAGGTGGCTGTGAAACCAATGTCTGACATGGCCTGAAGCCCACCACTGATATACCCAAGCCTGGACTAGTTGAGTTCTGCTACAAATTTCCCAAAACATTAGGGCCCCATAGTCCCAAGACAGTTGGCCTACTATTGTGTGGCTTCTGGGATGGCCTAAGTGGCCCTATGTGTTCTATCACTTGTCATCTACTCTTTTTGAAAGACCTCAACTCCCCTTCCTTCTGGTCCTCTCCTTCCCCATCCCCAGCTACCATTATGCTTGCTTTCTGGTCTCCTTTGTGCAGTAGCTGTGGCCAGTGTGTAGCCACTGGGAGCCACACAGGGAGAGGGCTCCAGAGGCTGGGCAAGGCCTTATACCACCCAAATGGGTGCTCCTCAATGTTGGGACCCTGTTCTGGGCTGAGTGTGCACCCACAAGGCCTGCACCCACTTGGTATATTTTCTCTTCCCCAAAGGACCTTCTTCTGAAGTCTAGAGGGAGAAACTAATTTCACCCTAGAAGACGATAAGCTCTGGACCCACCCACCTGGACACAAAACCAGGGACCAGCCATGAAAGACATCCAGCCTGCAGATACCAGAAATCCTGGGAAAGCCACGCCCAGCACTCAGGGATTTCAGATTTCCTTTGGCCCTGAATTAAGGCTTGACAAGGCACACTTCAGGCCAATCTTCAGAAGGCCAATGTGGAGAAGAGGGAGCAGCCAACCATTGTGAAGAGGGCCCTTGGAATCCACACTCTGTTTCTTTTCCTCTGGCCCTGTGAATTTTGACTCTGTTAGCCCTGGGGAACTCCTCCCTTGAGCCCTATTAGGACCTAACTCTTGAATCTTTCTCTCCATCCCTCTTTCCCTGCTGCAATTGCTTCTAGAATTGCTACCACCAACCTTACTCTGAGCTCATTAATAAAATAAGCAGATTTTCCATCTTATAAGCATGAGTATGGATCTGGGTAGCAGACTCAAGGCTCTCACATTAAAGCCATAAGGTTCTGGCCCTGCTTCAAGAGTAAGAAGGAGTCAAGGGCCGTGATCGTGGTCTGAGATGGACGTGATCAAATGGCCAGGAACTGGCTTGGAGCAGAAGGCTGAGGTGCAGGAGATATGCTGGGCTGGCATCAGGGTCTTTTCAGCAGAGAGATGGCTGGAAGGAAGTCCATGTGGCAGGGGGTTTGTTCAATTCTAGAAAGCATAGCTAAAGGCAGGATCCCCAGAGGGTGTCCTCAAGGTGGGGGGTATCCCAGTTTCTCTCAAGGACAGCATGGCCACAGCTGCTTTGCATGAGGTCCCCTAGACAGGATGTGATTGAGAAGGTGCAAGTGGCCACACTCCCTCCATGAAATTGCAACTGGCAGAAACCCCTGGAGGGGAAAAGGGTTTGAAGCAGGAGTGTGTTACTCCAGTGGGCTAGTAGGGGATAAGTCAAAGGCCCTTCTGGTCCAGGAGGGGGTGACTTCTCCAGAGTCCCCTAAGTTGGTGGCAGAGCTGCTCTCTCCACTGTACCACACAATGGAAACACAAACTTAAAAAGGCTGGGGACTCAAGGATGCCCTTTGACTTTGAACTTTTAGCATTTCATCTATCTCTTTGAAGTTGCTTCCCACAGCTAGTCCCTCGGGGTTTGCTGAGCCGGCTTTGGGCCTCTTACCTCTGCATCTAGGAGTCGGAGGTGAAAGGGCTGAGTTTATGGCCTCTGTGCTTCTAAGACATCCCCTTTGGGCCTATGCAGGGCTGGGAAGCTTGTTCTCACCGATTTCAGCCTAATTCCCAAGACTGAGCTTTGGATAGGAATCTGTTTCCAGAGCTGAAAGCCCTGTTCTCCTCCTGCCCCTGCAGTGACCCTTCCCAGTTCCCTGGGGCCCAGACTGGCCATGCCTCTGTGAGAACTGGAGGGGGCAGGCATGGCCCTCAGGGGAGGCAGGTGGAGCTGAGGCAGGAAGAAGGCAGAGGGCCACAGGGCCTGCAGCTGCTCTCTTCTAGCCTGGGGTTTACAGCTGAGGAGCCTGCCCACTGATCTTAGTAGGAATAACATTGCTACTATTGGGTGCTTGCTATGTGTCATTCAGCCCTAAATGTAGTGATTCATTTAATCACAACAATGTATTCTATGAGGTTATCTTCACTGTTGCTGTTATTCATTGAGGAAACTAGTCACCGAGATGTTAAAATAACAGAACCAAGGTTAAATAGCCAGTAATTAGGTAGTAGAGTCAGGATTTAGACCCAGGCAGGGTGATTCCAGGAGTCCATATTATTAACCATATGCTATACTGCCTCAAGGGAGCTCTGGTAGTGTAGTGCCTAAGGCACTTGACTGCTAACCAGAAGGCTGGTGGTTCAAACCCACCAGCCACTCCTCGGAAGAAGATTGGGCAATCTACTTCCGTAGTGATACTGCCTCGGAAAGCCAAGGAGGTGTCGCTATGAGTTGGGTCCGACTTGATGGCACCTAACAACAACAACAACAACCTACTGCCTCAAATAGATAAGAAAGAAACAGTGTACAGAAACTAATTTCAGAGACACCAAAACTCCAGACAGAAAATAATTCCTCCCTGCCTCTATTTTTTCTCTGCTTCACTGTGTCCTTCACATTGCAAAGTGAGCCAGCCAAAGCCCTGCTAAAAACACTTCAATGAAACTTACTGTCCTCAGGACAAAGTCTTAACTCAGTTATTAGCCTGCATTCAAAGCCTGATCACCTGGCCCTGACAACTCCTTCAGCTCCATATCTTATCAATCACTTCCTTCCCTTCAGCCATACTGAACTCTTCAGTTTCTTGGACTTGCCATGCTCCATCACTTCTCGACGTCTTTGCACGTGTTGTTCTTGCTGCCCTGTGCTCCTCGTGAAATTCTGTGCATCCTTTACAGTCCATGCCAATTATAAAACAGAAGCACTGGGCTGACATGGTATGAGAGCTCAGTCAGGGTGAGCCTGCTGCTCCCTCCCAAGATAGACTGTTTGGATTGCAAGTGCAAATCCTACTTGAAATGACCATTTAAATGAAAAATCCTTGAGTGTTTGATGTCAGGTTTGGCTGGATCCAGGTGCTAGAAACAATGTCATCAGGAATTTGTTCTTGCCATCTCTTGGCTCTACTCTTCTGTAGCTGGCTTCATTCTCAGTTCGACTTTTCCCATATGAGGCCAAGATGGCCTCTAGTATTCCAAATGTATTCCACCAGGTAGTACAACCCCAGGGGGAAAATCACACTGTTTCCTGAAGTTCCAGCTAAATCTTGATAGTTTATTCTGATGAGCCTGACCTGGGGGTGTGGCCATCCCTGATTGGCCAGGCCTGGATCACATACCTACCCTTGGAGCCAGGAGTTGGAGTCAGCCCCACTAGCACCACATGAACTTATTGAAGGAGAAAGAGTGGTTTCCAAAAGGAAAATCAGGGTGCTGTTACAGGAGAATGGAAAATGTATCTGAACAGACACAAAGGGGTGCCCACTAAGGGACCCCTGGCCCCAGAAGCTCCTTCCTCCCTCCTTTCCTTCTGTTATTCCTTTTCTTCTCCCTGCCACTTTCTCTGGGGGAACCTGAGACCCAGAAGGCCTGGGGCTCCCTTGTGTCATCTGTACAACCCTCAACACTTGAGAACAAGAAATGGGAAGTAGGGGTCTTCTATGACCACAGGACTTGCTGACATGCAAGAGTTCCATTTGATCTCCAAGTATCCCAAGAAGTGAGAATTGAAATCTGACCATGGACATGTTACTTAACCTCTCTTCATCTCAGTTTCTTCGGCTATAAAAAGGATATAAATAGTGCCCACTTCATAGAATTGTGAGTATCAAAAGAAATACAGATAAAGTGCTAAAACAGTTCTTGGTTCTTAAATTAATGTTAACTGTTTAAAGACTTGGGACAGATGATGCTTCAGAAAGAGCAGCTTGGGGTCCATTTCACCCCTCGGGGTGAGGCTGCCTAAAGGTGGGCTCTGAGTCAAAGAGATATTCCTTACCCTGCCCCTGTATCTCCCACACTCAACACCCACAGCAACTGCAGGAGGCTGTCTTCTCTTTCCTTATCTCAAAGAAGAAAGTCCCCACATCCTTCCAGGAGTAACCACTGCTCCCCAACAGGCCTCCAGCTAAGTGTGTGTATGTACATAGACATGTTGAGTTTATAATACTCATCTTTATTAATTTTATCCTGAATGTACTCACAGTGTTGTAGATCAGAGATAGATTTCTTATTAATCATCTTATTATTAATTTAACTAATAAGTAATCAGCATATGAGCCCCCCCCCCTTTACCCCTAGAATGACTCATTGAAAGCCAGATGGAAAAATTTCTTACATGCATGGCAGGGCCCTCCATAAGTAAAAGACAGATAAAAATGATCATCTCCACTTCCATACAGAAAAGAGCCATCCTCTCTCCTCCAGAAAGGAGAGGGGGAAAAAGTTGCTCCTTTGAGGCAGATGGAAGGGATCCTGGGTTATCGCCAGAAACTTCTAAATGTAAATATCTAGGAAGATAGGTGGTCCGGTCTTCTTGACACCTTGGGAGCTTAACCTAAGGACCTAGTCCTGGCCGTAAGCATTTGACTCTATCAGTGAGATAGCAGAAGTTTTATTATCCTCTTAGATTGGAGCAATTAACTAAACAAATAGCTACAGATCCAATTTTTACAGTGTGTGAGGAGTAAAATGCATCTGGCTTTCAATGAATCATTCTAGGGGTAAAGGGGTGGGCTCATATGCTGATTACTTATTAGTTAAATTAATAATAAGATGATTAATAAGAAATCTATCTCTGATCTACAACACTGTGAGTACATTCAGGATAAAATTAATAAAGATGAGTATTATAAACTCAACATGTCTATGCACATACACACACTTAGCTGGAGGCCTGTTGGGGAGCAGTGGTTACTCCTGGAAGGATATGGGGACTTTCTTCTTTGAGATAAGTGAAAGCAAACATTCCTATCTTTATATCAGAGGGACAGAAAATGTGTCTCAGGAGGCTAGGGATTTTTACAGAAACAGAGAAATCCAGGGAAGCTTAATTTCCTCACAATCTACGTACACAAATGAAGGGTGCTGGTCACAGGTGGGCAGACAGCAGCAGAGCATCACTGACAACCATGAGGACCGCCGCCTCACTGGAAGCAGAGCTCCCCCTATCTGCTTCTATGGAGCACAACTGGCCACTCTTTCCACAGACTCTTCATTGGTCAAGGGGGCCCCAAACCAGTGAGCCAGCTCAGATTCTACTCTCAGGACTGACTTACTCAGCTGACAGGAACCATGGAGCAAAAGTCTGCCGGATGCAGTTTCAAACCCTTGACACAGTTCAATGACACCCACCTGACAACCACCTCAGGCCTACAGCTCCGAACTCAGATTCCACAGGTAGATTAAGGGAAGGTTCATGAATCCTAGCATTTGGATCTCGTTTTAGGGAAGGGGTCCAAAACTTTTCTCAGATTTTCAAAAGTGTTTCTGACCCAAAAGAGGTTAAACCCACTCTCATAAAAAGGTGATCATTTAAACAACAACAACAAAAATTTTTATTGTAAGGTGTTGGGAACTCCC